AAAACTCATTATCCTTACAAATGGTAGGATGTCACCATGGTAGCCTACATGTCCAAACATTCATGTTAAATCAATGATAAGTCTTATATTTCAATGGAAATTACCCTAGAGCTTATTTGATACAGGTGAATGGTAACATGACATGAAATAAACAAATAAAATATTCACTTTTCATCAACTCATGAAGTTGTGAACCCGCAGTTTGGGAAAACGAATTAGAAATGAGATATTGCTGTGCTGCGCTTATGTATTTGTTAACTTTATTACTTTATCATTGTTGATATTTGTGCTGAGATTTACAATGCTAGAATATCATAGTCATAACACTAGTTCATGTAAAGGCATTGAAATGATTCATGTTTAGTCCCAAACTTAGACATTTATTTTTTAGCAAAAACTTTTAAACAAAGCTAATTTAATGGGAAGTATTGTTAAATATGGTAATACAGGTTAATGCTAACTTGTGGTGTGCATTTCAAAATCCCATGCTACACTCTTGGGATTTTGCAAAGCACCTCACAAATTAGCCTTAGCCTGTTATTTGAGCTATTTAAACAAAGTTATAATTATATTTACCATAAATCACCATGTAGGTAACTATTTGGTTCTTAAAGCATCTGTGTTTGGAGTCATTTTCATGGTGCTTGATGTGCTAGTTCATGTAAAGTCGTTGAACTGAATGCATTATTTACTAGGAAATGCTTCAAATTCAGTGTCTTTAGCAAAACCTAACGCAAACATTTAAAGCTAAATTGATGAGAAGTCAAATTAAGACTAAGTTTAATGCGTGGGATTTTGAAAACACATCCTCACAAGTTAGCATTAGCCTGTTCTTTAAGAAACCTAAAGTTCTTGTTAGCATAAACCATGTGTTAGCTAAACTGGTCTGAATCAGATCTGTGATTACCTTAAATTACCATGGTAAGTACTATGGTAGTTCTTAAACGATCCTCGTTGGGAGCTTTCGTTGTGACTGACGTACTTGCTCCCGCTGTTGTTTGATCACAGTAATTCCAGGAAACTGACGTTAGATCCGAGAAAACATATGGAGACTATATTCCAGACCCGTTTATTAAAGGGTTAACATGAAAGAGGGAGCGACAGGGAGTTTTTCCTGTCTGCTCGCACACCAATTAGAAAATTGACTGTACACAGTTTTCAAGGCTGCTGCGATTTCCTGATTAGCTCCTTGTTTTGGACTTGGAGTATATCCTGCTAAACAGTGTATTCCTATTAGACTTTAACCTCAGAAACACTTTATTTATTTTGCATGACAGAAAAGTAGAAGGAGCAGGAAAATGAACATCCGATATGACCTAAAAATGAGGCCGATCTGTTTTTTTGTCGTAAGAGCCAGGCGGGTCTGTAACCCTGTGATTGACAGCTGTCACTCTGTTTCTCCGCAGATTCT